TGTACGTTAGGGAGATCACGTTACGAAGGTGGTACTGCCTATATACTAAAGCATAAACATCATAATCTGTTCGTGAACTTGGAGCAAGGTGGAGGAAAGGAATGGGCACAGCATACCATAAAGCATGTTCGTGCAAAGGTCATTCGCTATTTGACATATTAGGGCGTACGAACCGCTTATGATGTTCATCCGGTGGCATATAAGGAGCACCAGCTTTTGCAACAGAATTCCTGAAAAGCGTGAGGTGGCTCTAGCGGACAGAGTGTTGCGAGGTGCATCTGGTTCTACAGGTCTTCAAATACAATGAAACTCGGGTCTGATTAAATGGCCCATATCTCCAAGACAACTAAGAACAAGGGGTGGTTGCAATAAGGCATGAACTCAGGCCTTGGAGGAGTCTGACGTTGCATTGAACCACTGTAAAATAACAGATCGCAAAGATGATTCTACGAACCAGAAAAGGAGAGATAGCAGATTTGAAAAATTGCAGGCCGATCAGTTTGTTGCCCGTCGACGAAGCGCTCTTCAAAAAATATTGGCGAACACGCTTGAAACAAACTTAACTCTGCATAGCACACTTAACATTCAGAGTAACTTAACAACACGCACCATTTCTCATGGAATAACCTGTTTCGAACTCCACCGTTGCGGGTTCCAAGCCCGTTGGAGAAAGAAGGAGGGATGGAGACTGTGGCGAAGTCTCTATACAATTTCGCTACCTGCTCTTCACGGTATCATACACGGTGTGATTCATTAGAGTTTTTTCCTAGAGGTAGTGTAAATGTTTCTGAGAAGCGCGGCTAACTTCCGCTTCGAGACTCTGTTTTACGTTGCATGTTTCAGTCAGGCGGAAACATGCATAGCTCACATAGTGTTCCTACTAAACATCAGAATGTGCTCTGAAACCTGGCCTCTAAGAAAATCCGAGTTCTTTAACATACTCTGACGTATGAACATATTTCGATATTTATATGTATACAGCAGCAGCTCTTGAAACATCGTTCATAATGAGCGTG